GTTTACACTGGCAAAATGCAGGACAGCAATATATTATAATCAATCTAAAGTCAAAGAACTACACATTTACATCTTTTAAGGAACTGGTCCAGTTTAACTAAGTTAAATTTATCGGCATAAAGTTGTTCATAATATTCCTGTCTCATCCTTTTACTGTTTGCAAGATGTGTACTGATGTCCCTTCTCTCTCATTTCTGCTACTTGTAATTTGTGTCTTCTCTCTTTTTCTCCTGACCACCATGGTTAGAGATTTGTTAATTTTATTCATGTTCTCAAAAAACCAGCTTTAGTTTCACTGTTTTTCTCTATTGTTGTCTATTTTCTAATTCATTGATTTCTGCTTTTATCTTTATTATATCCTTCCTTTTGCTTGGTTTGAATTTAATGTGCTCTTCTTTTTCTAATTTTTTAAGGTAGAGGGTTGATATGAAACTTTTATTTTTTTCCTAATCTAATCATTTAATGTTATAAATTTCCTCTGAGCACAGCTTTAGCTTCATTCCACAAATTTTGATATACTGCATTTCCATTTAGTTCAAAATGTTTTCTATTTTCCCTGTGTTTTCTTCTTTAACCTATGGGTTATTTAGAAGCGTGTTTAATTTTCAAATAGTCAGGGATTTTCCAGATGGCTTTGTGTTACTGGTTTCTAATTTTATTGTGATCAGAGAAAATCCTTTGCATAATTTCAATTATTTTAAATTTGTTTAATGGCCCAGAATGTGGTCTATCTTGGATGAATGCTTTGCCATTATAGGGTGAAGTGTTTCATAAATGTCAATGAAGTCAAGTTGGTTGATACTGTTTTTCGAGTATTCTACCTCCTTACTGATTTTCTGTCTACTTCTATCAATTATTGATAAAGGGGTGCCGAAATCTCCAATTATCATTTGGGGATTTGTCTATTTCTTCTGTTTCATCAATTTTTGCTTCATGCACTTTGAAGCTCTGTTATTAGCTGCCTATATGTTTAAAATTGTTATATCCTCTTGAGAAACTAACCCCTTTATCATCATGAAATGTCCCTTTTTGTCCCCAGAAATATTCCTTGTTCTAAAATCTATTTATATTAATTAAGTCACTCCGACTTTCTTTTGATTAGTGTTTGCATGTTACATCATTTTTCATTCTTTTACTTTTAAGTATCTGTGTCTTTCTATTTAAAGCTTCTTGTGGACAGCTTTTAAAAATCCAATCTGACAATCTCTGACTTGTAGTTAGAGTATATAAACCATTTACATTTAATGTGATACCAATATGTTATTGTTTGCTGCTGTCTTAGTCAACTCTGACCCGTGGTGACCTTGTATACAACAGGACAAAACATTGCCCGGACCTGCATAATCCTCATGACCGCCAGCATATTCAAATCCATCGCTATGGCTACCGTGCCAATCCATTTCACTGAGGGTCTCCCATGACCTTGCTGGCCCTCTACTTCACCAAATATGATGTGCTCCACTACAGATTGATCCCTCCTGATGACACGTCCAAAGCAAGCAAGTCAGACAACGTTCTATTGTGATCCATAAGATATTCATTGGCTAATTTCTGGAAGGAGATGGTCAGGCCATTCCTCCTAGTCTGTCTTGTCTTAGTCTGGAAGCTTCGCTAAAACCTGTCCACATGGGTGACTCTACAGATATTTGAAATACCGGTGGCGTAGCTTCCAGAATCATAGCAATAGCAAGCTACCACAGTATGACAAACTGACAGACAGGTAGTGGGATATCAATATAACCAAAACCAAACCCGTTACCATCGAGTCAATTCCGACTCATAGTGACCCTATAGAGCAGAGTAGAACTACCCTGTCAGGTTTCCAAGGAGCAGCTGGTGGATTTGAAATGTCGACCTTTTGGTTAGCAGCCTGAGTTCTTAATCACTGCACCAAAGAGCTCCAGGATATCAATATAATTGGGTTTAAATATTTTATTTTGCTAATTTTTTTTTCTATTTATCCCATCTGTCTTCTTGCAGAACTATACATTTGTATAACTGAAAAGGATTTTTAAGTTAACCTGGTTCAACCAGCTCATTTTACAAATAAAGAAACTGAGGTTCAGAGAGTTTATCTGACATGCTCAAAAGTTTATGTGATAGTTGAGTTTGGCAATATAATCAACCAAACAAATTAAAAAAAAAAAAAAATCAATCTCCTGACTAATTAATCCACTGTTTTTTCAATATACCATGACAATTTAATTTCCTAGATATCAATGCTACAATGAGAATAAATAACCTTAAGGGCCCTTTTGAGTTGATAAAGCCAATCTTATAAAATATAATTTACTTCACCAAAAAGGACATTCAAGTGGTCAACACAGGAAAAGATGCTCACGATCATTAGCCATCAGACAGCTGCAACACAAAACTACAATGAGATACCATCTCACCCCAGCAAAAAATTCTGGCGAGGTTGTTGGAACACTGGAACCCTGTTCCACTGCTGCTGGGATTGTAAGTTGGTTAAATAACTATGGTATGGAGCTTCCTCAAAAAGTTAGAAACAGAAATAACCCATGACCCAGCAATCCCACTCCTAAGTATACATCCTAGAGAACTAAAACTACTGACACAGACAGACATAACATATGCACAACGATGTTCATTGCAGCATTACTGACAAGAGCAAACAGATGGAAACAACCTAACGGCCCATCAACAGATGAAGGAATAAACAAACTGTGGTACACACAGTTGATGAGTTCTCAAAATATAGTATAACATGGATGAATCTGGAGGACATTATGCTTAGTGAAATAAGTCAATCACAAAAGGACAAATACTGTATGATCTCACTATTATAAAAAGACAAGAATAGCTACACATACAGAAAGCAACATTCTTTGGTGGTTACCAGGGATGAGAGGAAGAGGGAGGGGAATCACTTTTTAGATAGCAGACACTTGTTAGTTTTGGTGATGGGAAAGACAATACTGAATAAGGGTGAAGTCGGCACAATGTTACCAAGGTAAAAGATGACACTAAGAAGTATACAAAAATAAGGGACAATTTGGTAAAAGCCACAACATATACAATTTTGCAACAACAGTAATAACAACCAAAATATATGTGTGTGGTTACATAGGCAAATATGTAAGCTTATATATGTATAACTCGTTGCTGTTGAGTCATTTCTGACTTATAGCGACCCTATATGGCAGAGCAGAACTGCCCCATAGGGTTTCCAAGGAGTGGCTGGTGGCCTTGAACCACCAACCTTTCAATGAGCAGCCAAACGCTTAACCACTACATCACCAGGGCTCCAGGTAAGCATATATGAATATATGGGTGCACGCGTATAGGTGTTTCTGTAGGCAAATGTATATACACGTTTGTGTGTGCTCACATATATTCATATATAAAATAAAGCACATAGGGGGCACAGTTATGGATACCTCCTAGACATAACCAAATACTTTGTGGGATTGGTTTACTGAGTTTGAAGGATTAGGACCATAGCCTCGTGGGGCAACTTGGTCAACTGGCATAACATAGCTCATAAAGATAATGTTTCACATCCTAGTTTGGTGAATAGCGTCTAGGGTCTTCAAAGCTTGCCAGCAGCCATCTAAGATACAACTATTGATCTCTATGTGTCTGGAGCAAAAGAGAAAGAAGAAAACCAAAGGCTCAAAGAACTAGTCTACAGAGCTAACAGTCTACACAAACCACAGCCTCACCTGCCTTGAAATCAGAACTAGATGGTGCCTGGCTACCACCACCGACTGTTCTGACCAGGGACACAAAAGATGGTGCCAGATAGAATGGGAGAAAGTTGCAGAACAAAACTCAAATTCCTAAGAAAGGCCAGACTTATTGGACAAATAGTGACTAGAGGAACCCCTGAGACTATCGCCCTGGGATATCCTTTAAACGTGGAACTCAAACCACTCCCGGTAGTCATCTATCAGCCAAAAGACAGAGTGGCTCATAAAATAAACAGTAATCACTCATTGAGTACTGTGCTCCTCTAAATAATCATCTAAATGACAACAATCAACATTTACCCTAGACCAAAGATAAGAAGGTAAGGGGGGACAAAGAAGCCCAATTAATGTAAACAGAACAACCAGAATGGAAATAATGAGAATGATGACACATTGTGTAAAGTGTAAGTGGTATCACTGAATAATACGTATAGAAATTGTTAAATGAGAACCTAATTTGCTTTGTAAACTCTCACCAAACACACAATAAAATATTTTTTTAAAAAATATATAATTTTTTCAACTCTTCAGACAAAGATTAGACTGGACTATGGAACATAAAATGATACTCGTGAGGAGTGTGCTTCTTAGCTCAAGTAGATACATGAGACTAAATGGGCAGCTTCTGTCCGGAGGTAAGATGAGAAGGCAGAGAGGGTCAGCAGCTGGCTGATCGGACATGGGAAATCAGGGGTGGAAAGGAGGAGTGTGCTGTCACAGTACAGGGAGAGTAACTAGGGTCACATAACAATGTGTGTACAAATTTTTGTATGAGAAACTAATTTGAATTGTAAACTTTCACTTCAAGCACTATATATATATATACACACACACACACACTCATATATAATTTTCAAAGTCTCTTATCTGCTCTCTCTTTGACTGCCCTCCTCACAAGCTCTATTCACAGAAGGGGGGAAAAACATACATATATATGGGTAAACTAAGTTTAAAAGGAGCCCTGGTGGCACAGTGGTTAAGCACTTGGCTGCTACCTGAGAGGTTGGTGTTTGGAACCTATCAGCCACTCCACAGGAGAAAGATGTGGCAGTCTGCTTCTATAATGACTGCAGCCTTGGAAAACCTATGGGATAGTTCTGTTCTGTCCTACAGGGTCGCTATGAGTCAGAATTGACTTGACGGCAATGGGTTTGATTTTTTGTTTTTTTTGTTTTAAACTAAATTTAATCTAAAGTTTACAATAGTTTATGTCTTCTTCTGAATGTTTTTCAAAACAAAACAAGATATACATAAGAGAGTTTTCATAAATGACACACTAAGTCTTACTTTGCCAACAAGAGCGGGAATGTTCATTGAATTGGTTGCAAATCCCATGCCATATGCCATAGAAGCTTCTACTCCCAAGAAAGTCGCCACAAGCTTCTCTAGCTCTTCATGCTTGTCCAGGTTTCCTGTGTGAAGAAGTTAACGAAATCATCATAAATCCCAAATTTAAGAATTACTCATTACTTTATAAAAAGAAATCATAATACAAGTGTTATAACCTTTACAGACTAAGGACTAGGAAGGACTATTATGAAGAGTAATGACTCACAAAGAACACAATAGTTGGAAGAAATTCAGATTCAGCACCTGTGGTAGAATTTCTGCAAATGTGGTTGCCAACAATTTCTCCCATCACTGTTTGCTGTACTTCGACTGCTATCAAGAGGTGAGGTCCGTTGCCCCTCCCCATAAATCTGGGCTGGCTCTGTGACTTGTTTTGACCTATGAGATGCAGCAGCAGTAACACTGTGCCAGTTCTAGGTCTAGGCCCTAAGAGGCCAGGCAACACCTACTTTTACCCTTTTGAAGTCAGCTGCCATGCAAAGCAGTCTGACTAGGCTCTTGAGAGATCCTGTGGTGGGGGGGAAGGGCTCTGGAGGATAAGAATACAGAAGGTGAGAAATGCCCAGCTAACCCGCAACCATTCCTGCCACCAGCTGAGGTGCCAGCCATGTGAGTGAAGCCATCTTGGGTCCTCTGTTCTCAGTCATACTGCTCCTGCAAACACCACATGGAGCTGAGATAAACATCACATCCTCCTCAAATCGCAGAATCATAAGCAAATAAATGCTGTTCTTGTTTTAAGCCATAATGTTTTGGGATAGCTTGTTATACAGCAAAAGGCAGGTCAAACAGCACTTTCCCCTACTCTGATCTTACTGGTAAATTTGTATCGTTTTTATTTACTGAACTATTCTAGGTTCAAATTTTTTAAAACTTTGACTATTTAGATTTAAAAAATTGTATAGTGCATGCATGTTATGGATTGAATCATGTTCCCCCAAAAATATGTGTCAACTTGGCTAGGCCATGATTCCCAGTATTGTGTGATTGCCTATCACTTTGTCATCTGATGTGATTTTCCTATGCGTTAAAAATCCTACCTCTATGATGCTCATGAGGTAGGATTACAGGCAGTTATGTTAATGAGGCAGGACTCAATCTATACGATTGGGTTGTGTCTTGAGTCAATCTCTTTGGAAATACAAAAGAGAGAAGCGAGCAGAGACACAGGGGGATCTCATACCACCAAGAAAGCAGTGCCAGGAGCAGAGCGCGTCCTTTGGACCCAGGGTTCGTGTGCTGAGCAGCTCCTAGACCAGGCGAAGACTGATGACACAGACCTTCCCCCAGAATCAACAGAGAGAAAGCCTTCCCCTAGAGTTGGCACCCTGAGTTTGGACTTCTAGCCTCCTAAACTGTGAGAGAATAAATTTCTCTTTGTTAAAGCCACCTACTTGTGATATTTCTGTTATAGTAGCACTAGATAACTAAGACAATGCATAAATATACTTTAAAAATTAAGCCAAAATAAAAACTTACTTTTAATCTTTAAAAATAAATAAAATATAACCTGAGCTTTTTATGCTCAAATACCACTTAAAAGAATATCTAAGGACCCTTAATGGTATCTAAGAAAACAAATATAAGACTATTTCTGGTATTTAAAAGAACATAGGACATAGAACCTACAAAAATTTAGGAGAAAAGAAAACTGAAAGAAATTCAACATATTCTAACTTTCACAAGAGTTTACTTTTAACTGGAACCTGCTTTAAAAAGCAACTCTGAATATTTTCTAGGAAGAAGTGTTTGTTCTTGGCCTAGGGCAATGACACCCAAACCTGGGAGATTTCGGAAAAACAATTATAGCATGATGACTGCAGAAGCTACCTAACAAGCTTCATTTAGCAACTGAAACTAGGAGTCTTGAAGATCCGCAACTTGTATATGTGGTATAAAAGTTCCAGTTTAAATAATGAACTAAACCAGTTGCCACTGAGTCGATTCCAACTCATGGCAACCTCAAGTGTGCCACTGTAGAACGAAGCTCCACGGAGTTTTCAATGGCTGATTTTTCGGAAGTAGATTGCCACCTTTCTTCTGAAGTATCTCTGGGTGGACTTGAACACCCGACCTTTGGGTTAGCAGCTGAGTGCAGTAGCCATTTGCAGCACCCAGGGACTTGCAAAACATTATAAAGTCAACATTAAATTTATAAATGAATCAAATAAATAACTTTCCTAGAGACATTCTGTGTATGTGAGATATTGGACAGAATAAATATATCTTAAAATTTGTTGAAAGTACTTAAATCATCCATTACTTAAAAAAAAGAAAACATTTTTTACCTGGTCCAAGCTACATGGCAACGTAAGTGCTTGGATGCTTACCAATATAGCTCTCTATCAGCATTACTTCCTCTTCAGTGAAAAAGTCAAAAACAGCAGAGGGCCAAACGTAACCTATGCTTACCAATTTCCTGCCGTGTGCTGCACACGCCAACTCCGTACTCCTCGAGGACTCTGGCAGCTGCTTCTTGGCATGATCCAGTATTCCGTGCAAACCCAAGATAGTTGTAGGAACCCATGTTTATAACACCTTTAATTATATTCCCTGTGTACCTGTATTTCAATAGAATAAAAGCTCATTAAATTCAAGAGCAAATCAAATGAGATAGAAAATGTACTAGTAATACAAACTGAAGTACAAAGAACATGGTCTATATGAAAAGAAGCTCAAACTCACCACCAATTAGAGAAATGAAAATTGAAGCAAAATATCAAGTTTCACTTATCAGTGGTGATAAAGATTTAAAAACTGACCATATCCAGTGTTGGCCAGGATAGTCTCATATACTGCAAATAACAAAATGAATCAGTACAACTTTGGAGGGGAGGGCAGTTTGATAGCACTTATCTATTAAAAGATATATGTACACTTTTACTCAGCAGTTCCCACAGGGGTATGCAAGCATATATGCATAAGGATCCTTTAAGAGTCACTGCACAATCTGCCATATCCCTTCCTCAGGCACAGAGACCAGTAACATTCCTCATGGGGGAAGCTCAGCCAGCCGGGGCCCCCAAGTAAGGACAACATGGATCAGAGGCCCCCCCAACTTAAGAAGAACATTAAGTATGAATAAACCGCTACTGTTTTAACTCCCTGAGATTTTGGGTTTGTTAATACAGCATAACTGAGTCCAATCTGCTAGACCACGGCACATACATTTATACTATAAAATACTATGTAGTCACTACAAATAATGAGCTTGCTCTGAATATACACACGAGAAGGACGGTGTTGTTGTTAAGTGTTATCAAGTTGGTTCTGACTCATAGTGACCCTATGTACAACAGAATGAAACACTGCCCAGTCCTGTGCCATCCTCACAATCTTTGCTATGCTTGAGCCCACTGTTGCAACCACTGTGTCAATCTATCTGTTGAGGGTCTTCCTCTCTTTTGCTGACCCTCTACCAAGCATGATGCCCTTCTCCAGAGACTGGTCCTTCCTGACAACGTGAGATGAAGTATAAGGAGCATTCTGGCTGTACTTCCTCCAAGACAGATTTATTTGTTCATTCTTCTGGCAGACTATGGTATATTCAATATTCTTCATCAACACCATAATTCAAAAGCATCAACTCTTCTTCAGTCTTCCTTATTCATTGTCCAGCTTCTGCACACATATGAGGCGATGAAAAATACCATGACTTGGGTCAGGTGCACCTTAGTCCTCAAAGTGACGTCTTTGCTTTTCAACACTTTCAAGAAGTCTTTTGCAGCAGATTTGCCCAATGGAATATGTCGTTTGATTTCCCAACTACTGCTTCCATGGGTGCTGACCGTGGATCCAAGTAAAATGAAATCCTTGAAAACTTCAATCTTTTCTACATTTATCATAAAGTTGCTTATTGGTTCAGTTGTGAGGATTTTTGTTATACTGAGGTGTAATCCATACTGAAGGCTGTGGTCTTTGATCTTCATCAGTAAGTGCTTCAAGTCCTCCTCACTTTCAGCAAACAAGGTGGTGTCATCTGCATAACACAAGCTGTTAATGAGTCTTCCTCCAATACTGATGCCGTGTTCTTCTTCATGTAGTCCAGCTTCTCAGATTATGTGCTCAGCATAAAGATTGAATAAGTATGGTGAAAGGATACAACTCTGACGCACACGTTCCTGATTTTAAACCACGTGGTATCCCCTTGTTCTGTTTGAATTACTGCCTCGTGGTCTATGTACAGGTTCCTCATGAGTGCAATTAAGTGTTCTGGAATTCCCATTCTTCACAATGTTATCCATAATTTGTTATGATCCACACAGTCAAATGCCTTTGCATAGTCAATAAAACACAG